AACACAAACTTGAGTTGTAAACTATATGTCAATTGAATCAAATTTGTCAAGATCCATATAGGTTTCTCAAAATAGTCTCAAATACACTCTAGGATCTGAATTTCACTCCTCAACTTCCAATCATCATATAGATTGACAATCTATTCAATTGCACCATTCTTGAGTCCACATGTAGGAGTGTAGTTCTTAGGATAAGTAGGATTTTATTTTATTTTTGAGAATAAAGAGTTATATTCGGGTTCTCTTGAAGGTATTCGTCCGAATATATGTTTGTTAGATAGGAATACCATTAGGCAGTTCACACGAGTGAATTGCAAGGGAATTTAAGCGCGCGTTTGGGCGGCGGATTGAAGAATTGTCGAGAGAAAGTCGATGCCAAGAACTTGCCAAGCGGCGGGAGCAAGAGAAGCTAGCTGCAATGTCAAAACATCGAACCGGAAGAGTTCCAGCAGAAAGAAGTGAGACGATGGGGAGAATTTGACCGCTTATTCTAATGGCGGATTGGACTCCAACGGAGTTGCTGAGGTTGAAGAACCTTAGTGGAGCATTTATGTCATGGCGATGGGACTACGTGTGCCCGGAGCTGTGCGATGAAGTCCGGAGAGGGAAACCGCTGACAACAATTGGAAGCAGAGCGCAGCCGGAGAAGTGGGATGCGAAGTTATGGACGAAGGCTCTAGGGTGCAACCACGAAGAGGACAAAGACGGCATCGATTGGGAGGGATCGGCGATGCACACGGCATTTACCTTCGACGAGCGGAAGTGGTTCAACCATAGGGAGAGGAAGGGGACGAATGGCTATATGTTCGATTTGATTAAGGATGTATTCATGAGCAAGGTGGCACTCATCTTGAATCAACTTTTCTCACCGCAGAGAACAACCTATGTGAGCATGCACAAGGTGAGGATCGTAGAAGGGTTCTTCGGAGGAACTATCCGGGTGAACTGGGGAGAGATCTTTGCGAGGAATATATAGGCCATGGCGACGAAACTAAGAGAAGACAATAAGAGGTAGTCTATCTCTCGTCTTTCTTAGTACATCTGTATGCAAAGCTAGAGTGGCTGACGCCTAGGGAGAGGCAGTTGTACCGGTTGGAGAGTGGGTTGTCGGACTTGGATGCAGACATCAACAGTGCTAGTAGTGGGTCGACGAGGAGTCTAGGAATAAGTGCTCCGTCAGAGCCGAAGAGAACGGGAGAAATGAGACCGGCTGTACAGAGCAAGCCTGATTCGCACTCAGACCTTGAAGTGATTGGAACTTCGAGGAAGAGAAAGAGAGTAGTGGAAGACAGTCCACCAGCTACTCTAGCAGTTCAAAGAGATGTAGGGAAGAAGAAGGTAGAAGAAGTAGGACCGGCAAAGACTTCTCGTCCGACGATGATGGCGATGAAGCCGAAAGCCTCGAAGGAGATTGCAGAACCTATGGCATCGGTACAACCGTTGTCACAGAAGTTGGAAGTTGTGGTGGTCCCGGTATTGATGGAGTTGAACGAGATGGGGCCGATGTATATGCCAGGGTGGGACCCTCAAGCAGATGGGTATATGGAGTTGATTCAGATGATGAACCGTCTGGCGTTGGGGAAGGAGGACCAATCCATCACAGTGAGAGAACTAACGGAGAATGTGGACAAGTTGTCCAAGGAGAAGACTGAGATGGAGAAGAAGGTTCAGGAGGCGAAGAAGGCCTACGAAGAGATCTGTCGTATTCGGGGTGCGGAGATTCATTTTGTGGAGAAGGAGAATACTCATCTTCGGGAGACGGTGCAAGACATGAAGCGAAGATTGATTCAGGTGGATGTGGAAGCACCTGCGAAGTTGGAGAACCTCGCTTACAGATGTGCGCAACATCTGTTCACACGATGTGATCGTGTTGAGATGCAGCGGTTAGAGCAGTTGGTGGCAGCAATGGAGAATCCCAGCGACTCAAAGGACCGACGAAAGGAGATGTACAAAGCATTGGGTCGAGATTTCAGGGAAGCCATGACTCTTCATCGACAGGAGATCGCGGCAGATGTAAAGGAAATGCAGTTAGGAATCAACGCATTCATGCAAGCAACGGAGGTGCGATCGAGCGGCTTAGATTAGAGTAGAATACTTAGGAGAGAGCGATCCGTGTAGGAGGCAGTTAGCTTGACAGTTAGGAGTAGCAGTTAGAACATTCATTATAAATAGTCGTAGGAAATAAAGTGATGGATCTTTTATATTTGCAAGTGTCCAAGCTATTGGATTGCAAATTGTAGTCAGGGTGGAACGAGCACTCGAGGAGCTGGTGTCTGCAGGCTGACATTGTGACGACTGAAATGTGTATCCGTGAAGTTATCCGAATATTCGTCCACGAGCTGAGCCTGTTTGTAGCATTAGAAGTACTCTAAAGGGTGTTTTCGCCGAGACGCAAACTTGTAAAGAGAGAGATCCCCATCCCGAAGTAAGGCAAACTGCTGCAATCTATTTGTTGTGTCTGTGGAATTGGTGATGTGATGGGTTTGTGAAGGAATTGAGATTGAATCGATTGTCTTCTTTGTGAATGCTCTTCGGACTTTGCAGTCCAGAGTTAGAAAGATGTTTAAATGCTTATTTCCCTTCTTTGTTAGTGTGGTTTGATCCCTCATTCCCTTGGGAATGAATCAATCTATACCAATTTGGACTGAATAGTGCCTACCCGTGCTATTACATCACCTCGTAGCTCTTATCAAATCTCGTATGGTTCTTAGGAAGGCTTCCAAAACTCCTCAAAACCTTGAAGTACTTCACCTAAGTGCCCCCATTGGTCCAAACTTCACTATCAATGAGAATGAAGAGTGACTTTTTTGATCTCCATTGTTACCAAATTAGCTCCATATTAACTTAGATCATTACAACTAACCTAAACACACTACTTAGTCATCATATAAACAATATGAGTTGCAATTAATAAAGAGTGAAAATAAAAACTCGAAACTAATTAAGCATAAACGAAACTACAAATATAATCGAGGAGTTTATAACTTTAAAATAATACTCCTTGCCCAATTTCCTAATAATCAACTCCATATGGCTTACATTCGGTAAACAATAGTGATGGATTGGAATCTACGCATTGAAAATCAACACTATTGACAAGTTTAGATCCATAACATTCAAACTTAATCAAAATGTATATTGTCAAGTTCCAACTCGCACCATATGAAACAACCGAAAGAATAATCAGGTCTTGAAAATTTATCACTTGTCGCATAAAGTTATCTCCAAAATGATATACTAACCAAGCCTGAAAGAAATATTGATGAAGATATTGGATATTGATCACAAATATATTGGGTATCGATATATCTAGAGGATCAAGTTTTCCTTTATCCATGTCTCACGTCGGTTTCATTTTGATCAGATAAGCTTCTTAGTCAACAAAGCAATATTCTATATCTCTTTCTTGCCCTTTGTATCTTGACCACGCTTTATATTTGATAAGATTCTAGATAATATCTCTTGGAGTCTTATCAACATCCTAACCCTATAAAGTGGATCCAACTGTGGGCTCTTGCAAGTCTTACAATGAGCCGTCGATGTAGCCAATCTTGGTTAGCTATAGTTAGTTTAGCAAAATCTTAGATTGATCACTAGATCACTAAAGGACAAGATAGTGATTTGCATGATCCAAAAAGCAACAGGTAAACTTTGACTTCTATAGATAAATGACAAGATAGATACCATGCATTGGTGGATTGGGTTGGGTGTTAGATGTTAGGAATTGATTAGAATAACAAAACAAAACATGCAACCTTCACATATTAGCTATGTGGCATAGTTTGGATTTTGAACTATCCTGGTCCTATAATATATAAAGCAAGGAGATGTCTTGAAAAGATTAATGGTGATTTAACTTTGTTGGTTCAATATGTAACTCATAAGCAATATGCTCCATTCTTTCTTCCACTATGGGTGGAACCTCTGCTTGTGGCCCATCGTAAGAAGTATCAAGATCAATCTTTCCGTCAACTATGTTCCTAAACTATGTTTGGGATAGGACATTCGCCCTTGTCAATAGCATGAGTTTGAACCAAAGAAAAAGAAAAACTCATTTCTTGGCCTTATGATCAAGCTTACTTCTATTTACCATGGGAGTAAAACTATAAGTATTACAACCAAATACTCTAAGCATAGAGTAATTAGCTAACCATTTGTACCACATTTCAAACGAGTATTGTACTTAATTACACTACAAGGCTGTGGTATTTACAACTTCAATCCAAAACATTTATGGTAAACCATCTTGGCTCAATATACTCCTTAACCGCTCCAATAAAGTTTGGTTGAGTCATTCGGCAACACCATTTTGCTCTAGAGTATATATTGCGGTGAGATGATGAGTAATACTTCTTTTATGACAACATATCTCAAACAATGATGAAATTTTTGATAACTATGAATTTTTATTTTTTTAATCTAGGAGATACATGGAATAACAAATGTGATGAAAAACTCATCGATAAGATTATATGGCCCAAAAGAAACTCCAATTTTATCACTCACTTTCCAACTCCACTATGTTTCAGAACTATATTTGGGACAGGAGATTTGCCCTTGTAAGTAGCATGAGTTTGAACTTTCTCCCCCTCTTTCAATCATGGATTCATTGAAATACACATCCCTACTAACTATTAATTTGCAATCATAGGATCCCATAACCTTTAGTTCTTTACTCCAAGGTAATACAAACTCATTTCTTGGCCTTATGATCAAGCTTAGTTCTATATACCATGGGAGTAAAACTATGAGCATCACAACCAAATACTCTAAGCATAGAGTAATTATCTAACCATTTGTACCACATTTCAAATTTCCACTATGTTTCAGAACATATTGTTGAGACTCCATAATACAGAAGAGAAAGCATATAATGGAGAGCTTGTTTACGTAAGGCGTGATGAAAGGTTAAAAATTATTGACATCCTCTCTGCAACATCCTCTCTTGGAACCCGTCTTTGATTTAGATTTGAATACAAATATAAACATTTTTACCACAGCCCGCGTAGGATTGCCTCTATAGCACAGTGGTAGTGCGTTCCCTTCGTAAGGGAAAGGTCGGGAGTTCGATCCTCTCTGGAGGCTTCCTTTTTTTGACCCGGATTGTATCTTCGATTTGAAGCGATTGTAGAGAGCAAGCCCTGTACATTAATCTTCGAATATCTCTGAGGAGAACATAGTACACAGCTATTTTTGACCCGGATGTATCTTCGATTTGAAGCGATTGTAGAGAGCAAGCTCTGTACATTAATCTTCGAATATCTCTGAGGAGAACATAGTACACAGCTATTTTTGACCCGGATAGTATCTTCGATTTGAAGCGATTGTAGAGAGCAAGCGCTGTACATCAATCTTCGAATATCTCTGAGGAGAACATAGTACACAGAAACGATTAGTTCCCGTCACTGAGCTAATTAAGGCTCCCGTCACAGAAATACGAATATTTTGAGTGCGAACGAGTACAGAGTGATTCAAAAATCTGTGTGTGGATTCGGTCCCGACGTGGACGAAGCTAAACAAGCAATGGATGCGGTTGAAGTTATCAGCGATGTTGCACGAGAGTCGGAACCTAGTCAAGGGCCAGCTGTAGAACTACTGGATTTCGAGAAAACCGACGCACAACCTGAAGCTTGATAAACGATGATCAAATGTACACAACGATGCGCGACTACTGCACACATGTACGCAGTATTTCTATTGATTCTACCCTCACATTCGACATTCTTATGTCGTAGCTCTCTCCTCGGAAGGAGTCCTACCGTAGCATTCAAGGGTATACTGTGAGGACTCTGTGCAACTTACATCATCATGATTCGATTCGATCAACACCTCGATTACGGTACTGAGATTTCCAGTTTGACTTGGTTCCTTGAAACTCAAGACTCAGACACCGGGCAAGCAGGCAAGTCGACACATCATCATGATGGCGGCACTTTTCTGCTGAGCCTGGATTCACGTTCATTATCTTTATTGCATTGCACTCGAACAAACTCCGTGGAAACGAACAATTATTGAAGCTATCATGATTTGTCCAACACCCAAGTTCTCGATGCGCACGCATGGTTTCCGGGGGGAAAGCCTGGAGTGGAATTCCTGTGTCCAGATTCCAGACTTTCGTCCCTTTGTGCCGGTGAAGAGATGGCACGCAGTCGTGACGAAATCGAATCAAAGGGTCAAAGAAGGTTATGGACAGTATAGTGAATATCAGGCGCGGGATGAGAGCATACGTTTCAGTGAGACGATGATACCTCCTCATTCGGAAGAAATGACCATGAAAGCACAATTTTGGGATGCCCTACGAGTCATGATGAAAGGAGATACGTTTGCTGCAGAAATGAATTTTGCAACCATCATTCGAAATGTTCTTTGCCTACGGTGGAAAGTGTGAAGGATATTACCTAACTGTGTCTGGATAAGGAGCCCCTCTCGTAACGATGCACTCTTTTGGTTCAAGTGCATGTAGTATGTAGTATGTACCCGTTGAGGAAGGCGAAGCGTCTGTCCATCATGAAAAGTGAGACAGGTAAGAGTTTATGGGTTTCATGGTTCTTGGAGAAGTCACTTTTGACATAGCAGAGATATGCAGCCCAGAATCACATGATCATTTCTATCATAAGCAATTATGCTTTTGACTATCATCCAGTCAAGATCTTCACCTCCTGCAGTACATGCACACGTTTCAAGCACATTACTCGCGGAGCTTGTGAGCGTTGAGAATCAAATGAAGACTGTCATCATCACATTCTCTCATGTTTACACTCGATGACATGCATTTCTGGGGGAAAGATCCCAGGACCCATATGGATCACCTCCTTTTACTGAAATCAGCGTACGTTGCACTATATTTTGCAAGTTTACGGAGTCCTTCTGACTGTGCGTTTATTCTATCTCTGCCATCTTTGTAAAGAAAACCAGGTTTCACAAAGTAAACTATTGCCTCTCTATGAATCTCAACCGCACCTGGCAGAGTTCCATGCAAAACTTCCATCTGCAATCATATGTATACTGCGTACCCAAAAGAAAATAAAATGCATCTCTTATGTTTTGAGAGTCTCATTGTGTAAATCTAAATTAAATATCCACTGATACAATTCGAATAATATGCAAAAGCTAAATACAGTACCTCTGAACTGGGTTTTGTATACACTTGCGTACACCTCCGTTTGATCGCTCTCGCAAATCCTTAAAACCATGTTGTTGGACCTTGCAGGATAGCTTGACTTTTCTAGAAGTTCCTGACAGATGTCGTCAGGCCATATATTTGAGAATGCTTTCCAACCATTAGCAATCGCAGGAGAGAGGAAAAGGTAAACTGCTGCATTGAATACAACTACTTTTGTTATACAAAATCATGACAAGTTTGCTATGTATATTACGTGAAACATTATCCACCAAGATTATAGTGATGAGCACCGCAATAGTTTCCCTGAGCTAGTGTCCTATCTTAAGCTTCACACGCAAGATCATGAAATGCTATGACTCACAACGAGATTCCATTATCCCCATCCACGAGTGATTATAATGAGTTCGATCAATATCAGACATTGTCTGGCAAATTAAGGAACAATCAATCTGATCATCAACGTAGTATGTGGACTGAGACAAACCCTGCCCTGTCAGTGTAAATTAGAAGGGCCCTTGCCTTGATCATGTGCTCAACTAAATTCGGAGGTCAGATTTTCAACTGAATCAGCTTGTGAAGGATTATGGATATGCAGTGTATACAGAATATGCCAGCACATCACTAAGCACTTACTTTCTACACTTCCATGAGTCGACTCTTTCACTTATCTTGCTAGAGGAAGGGAGATACATTCACTTCCAGATCTATATCTTAGCAGATAGCTGAACATTTCAAAAAGGTGAACGATTGAGAACGTGAAGTCCAATGATGTACCTACAAACTGCCCTTCTACCATGCATATCACAGCCATGTAAGCAAGTGAGAACGCAGGTATATGCCGTTAGAGTAAGACAATAATATGTACTTCGTTAGCTACTGCATAGCGATAAAAGCAGAAATAGGTTGCAACAAACTGGGAAATGGAGTTGGTACAAGTCCAAACTTCTGATTAGAGTTCTGCTGAGAGTCGCAAAAGAAACAGTTCTAAACGGTCAGCAAGATTTGCTACACTTGTTCTGGTATTTGGACTTTCTCGTTTGGAGCGTTGTCGAAGTGGTGGAGTTGTTCCCAAGCATGCAGTACCACGATTTGTCTTCATAACTTGGGCGATACAAATGGTTGACTTCATAGGGCCTGAAGGTAAAACATGCCCATACAATTCATCCGATCGTCTTACCCGATCTCGAGTTCTACTACGTCTTCTGCCAAAATGGATGGTGCTGAGACTAAGACCACCACTACAGTGAAACCTTAAGAGGCTTGGCTCCACATCGTAAGGCCACATCACTGAACTACTCCTCCAATATACGGTTGAATTCACCCATACGCTACCAAACAACGAGCTGTAGCTTCGCGAACCGTGTCGAAGTTTTACTGTGCCTAGGCCTTACTTCATCTGTTAAGGTACCTTGTCCTTCCAGTGGACCGTAGACCTCGAGGAAGCTCTGCAGGTAGGACAGTTCGAGCTTTACAGAACGATGAACCTTTAGTAGAACCACGAATAGCAGTTCATAGAACTTCATACAAGGAGAAATAATTTTGTTTAAATAGCCAGCTGTAGATGAAATGTGTATACCTTCCGTTGTACGGCACACAAGAGCTTTGAAATCTCACAGCTCTTGTACCGAGCAGGGGTTGCAAACCTATTCTTCAACTGAAAGTCAACTCCAAGCTTTACCTGTTTCAGGTCTAGGTCTGAGCGTGCTCGGACCCAAGTGCTCTCCTCTGTGGGCAGATAGGAGAGTGTGACAGCAAATTCACTATCCATCGAAAAAGGATAAGCTACTCTCAGATTCGTCATTTTCAGGACGAGTCTGAGAGTAGTTTATTCAGTCAATGTCAACTAATCCTGAGGTTCAATAACTGCGGCGTGGCTTGAAACTTGTATACCTCGTCGATGCGCTGTAATATTGAAACGTGGTAATGTCTATTTTTCGGATTCACTGTCAAAACAAGAGATCGCGGTCACTTTACTAACTCAAACTTGCCTTCAGGCAGTAAGGCTGGAATCGCTGAATTTTATTTTCCAGAAGGAGGACTGTCTTTTCGTGAGACGATTCTGATTCTTGAACCAGCCATCAAGCATTCTATCCTTCTATTGTGCATCTCTACGCCATCATCAAGTGGCTGCTTGCAAAATTGCACTCTCCTTGTATCGGGCTGGTCATGACCAAGCTGAACACGCTTCTTAAACATCCAGGTTCGAAGGCAGTGGGTCAATTCAACATCAAAAGCTTTTACAGGTCTCTATCATGATCCGACTTCAAGTAATCAACAAGAGCGCAAAAATCATGCTGGCAGAATAGTTGGAGCTCATATCACATATCCTGCAAATGCATGTAGACCAACATTAAGTTGTACTCTCTGTAAAATTCAGCACTCTGCAGTAAGAAAAGAAATGTTCACGAAGATGATGAACGCCTGACAACGGGTAGACAACCTTAAGGAGACCAACATTGCTTCACAGAAAAGGAGCGGGCTGTCACTCGTTCAGTTTAGTTTAGAGGAGCTAAAACTTTGGCTATAGGGCAGAGAGAAGCAATTCTGTTCAAATGCTCGAACTTATTCGAACTTCAAATAAGGGTGTGTTCATAATGCATCCACATGCATCTGTAGTCTCCTCTAGGAATTTCGAACAGTAGCAGCAAAGAAATTTGTATGTAATACAGGAAAGACACAAAGAAACGTGATTTTATGCCTTCTTCATTAGGCATCTTATCCCTCTGAGACGATTTAAAATTACCCCAGAGCCGAAAACCTCTGCTTCAATCGAACTCCTCCTGAATACATTTCGGGGAAGCGACGGTAACCGTTGTTCAAGTGACTTTCATGATAACGTCCAATCGGTGATACCATGCACTGTGAAAAGTTCCGGTGTTAACGGGCAAACTTTTACGAATTTCTCCCGCCATGGTAGAATTAGAATGCTTTGACAAAGCATTTTCCGGTCAAGAGTAGGCAAT